AGAGAGAGAGAGAGAGAGAGAGAGAAAGAGAGAGAGAGAGAGATTACACTTGACCCGTTGGGTCACTGGCGGCTCAGGCTATAAAACATTGAAGTTGATTTCGACATTCTATTGAAATGAAAGTTAATTTTATTATGATTCAGTTAAATGTTTCATTTCGTTCGTGTCATCATTGTCTGGCTTACAAGTTCAGGTTTAACGTTTTACTGATGGTTTACGGCGTTTAGAACTTCCGGGATTAATTTGAACTCCGGTAACAGAACTATGTGAACACTTGTACAAAATGCAAAAAAGAATTGTGATATTACTGAATAAACAACTCGTGTTTTTAGCTGAAATATAAATAATTATTCTCCAAACGACTGGACGAAATAGCAAAGCGTGACCTCCTTGTGCCTGCCTTTAATTTACAAAGATTTTAATTAAAACATCGTCTGTCTGAAGAAAGTTAAAAATAAAAATACTTATTGTATAAACAACTTTAAATCTGATTCACTTAAAATATATATTTTTTTAAATCAGATTAACTTAAATCATTATGCGCCGGACGCACCACATAATCACAGACTTGGAGTATTATATATATATATATATATATATATATATATATATATATATAATATATTAAAAATGGACAAAGTTCGACAATTTATTTATTAAAGACATTTTTATGTTTAACGATCTTTTTTTATAGATACAAGTATTTAAGTAAATGCTCTGTTTATAATAAACAGTATTAAATAACATTTACCGGCCTGAATGTCCGAGAAATTTTCATAGAAAAAATTCGTCCTTTGACAGGATTCGAACCTGCATCCTATACGGAACCGTCATTTACGCTGACGTGCCTTGACCGCTCAGCCACAAAGGATCGTTTGACAGGATTCGAACCTGCATCCTATACGGACGAATATTGAGCAGTTACGAATGTACGAGATTCATGGAAGATTGAAGTTTATAAGCAGTAAATTCAACCTTGCCAACCGAACAATCCTGTGTGTGTATTGAAGTATGTCTGGTTGAATAATGTAGACATATTATGTTTATTTTTTTTTATTTTAATCCTTTCAAGTTCAAGGGTCAATTTCTTAGTGTTGGTACAAAACTGATAAAGAAAGGAGCCATAATTATTCTTATAGTTTTTATTTTCACAAGTTCTTTCACTCTCATCCAAGATCATCTTCAGGGATGATTGCTGTATTTGAAAGTTATGAATATGGTGTGTACGTATGAAATCACTCGATTCAAATTTTTTTACCGCTCTGTAAGGGAGGTAACCTAATATATATTGTAAATAACATTATTAAAAATTGTAATTACGTGTTTTAAAACATTCTGTTACAATCGCAGTAGTTTGAAAATTACAATTTAAATGTTTTAAAACTTCGTTATATACGTTTTAGAAATTTATTACTATACTCATAATTTATTTTATTTATCGTTGGCCATAATTCTAGAGTTTGACGTTTTTGGTTTTTATTTTCGTGGTGGAATATACTTGTATCATCGATTAATATTTCTCTAAACCCTGAATGTGGATAGGAATGTTCCTTTAAATATCGTGCAATCGAACTAGAATCCGACATATGAAGTGTAATTCTCCTCGCTAAGGCCGTTGTCGTAAAACCAACATATATATTTTCTTTTTGCACCAACACTAAGAAATTGATCCTTGAACTTAAGAGAATTAAATTAATATAAATAGACATATGTCTAGATTATTCAACCAAACATGCTTGAATGAAGATATGCTGCATATATATATATATATATATATATATATATATATATATATATAAACACACACACTCACACATCTGTATTACTGCAGCTGATGCAAGACTCTTCGATAAGACGAATCGATTTCTCCGGTCACTGGCGTGTTTGTCTAAAACTAAATACGTCTACATTCACTGTTATCCCTGTCGTTCGCCAATTGCTTAGCGGTAAAATTCTCCGTCATATATCAAATCAATCGGGTTTCAATCCCGGCTTGAGGTAATCGGATGTCTAGCCACGGATGAGCTGCGAAACAGTCTGGCAGTCGATGTCTCTCTCTCTCTCTATATATATATATATGTGTGTGTGTGTTTGTGTATACACGCACGCAATCAAGCTTTGTTGAAAAAGCCGATAATGGGTTCCTTTTTAAATTTTTGTTGTAATTTTCTAATTTTCGAATACGGTCGTGAGTACTATGATTGAAGATGGAGATAAACTTTCGGAGTTTCATGTTTTGTTATTGTTATGTTCAATTGCTTTCAACGGACTCAGTCATTTTCAAGAACCAATGTGGTGTCTTGAAAATGAACGAGACCGTCGAAAGTACTTATAAGATTAAAAGGAATGATAGGAAAAACAGAATCTTTATATATGTATAAAAAGAGTGATAAGAGAAAACAGAATATCTATATCGGGCGTAGCAGTATAATTGTCCAAATCATGTAGCAGCATAATTATCCAGTCTACAAAATGTTTAATATCTAATAAACAACTAAACTAATTGAATTTCTTTTATTCAAGGTTTTTAGATAAGTCATTTAGCCATCTTTGTCGTAAGCATAACTGAAACACCCTCTGAGTTATTTGACTAAAAAGAAGAAGTAGGTTAAAATCATCTCATGTCAGCCCCACTATATTTTCCCAACTGAGCAACGGTGAGAGGAAAAATATTCCGGCCTTCAGTAATTGTACGAACATCTCTACTCAGGCTTCCATCTTCAAATCCATTCTTGAACCATCACGAGAAGGGTGAATAAGTTTTAAAAAAAAGAGGGAAGAGTAGAGAGGAAAACTGGATCAGGTGGTCACAACAGGAAGAGGGATCATCATTTCAACTGAGAGCTAAAGGGATCAGTTAGTACGGGAACTGATGTTTCGACGTGATTTGGCCGTAAGCGATTTTTAATAATTGAAATGTTGGTGAGGTATAAGTTAGTATTGAAAATTGGTTTTGAATGTTTAATATTAAGTTCCATCAATTGTTAAGGCTTGGATTTTGCATCCATCAAATATAAGTTTTTACGAATGTTAGGGGTATAAACTGTACCTGTTTGTGATTTAATTTTTAATCAATTCCCCTCAAGCAAGTCTATAACGCCATTAACACGCAAGGGGTTACATGGAGTGAAAGAGAATGAGAAGGCTTTAGAAAAACCGGAAAGTCAATCCAAAACAAGAACAAAGGGATAAACCTTCTACGCTTGTTCAATAAACTCAAGAGAAGTTCAAAGCGAACCTATCAACTCCAATTTAGGAAAAATAAATAAATATCAAATTAAATTTTAAGAGTTTTGGTGGAGACGCTAGAATATAGAATTAGAATATAATTTAGAAGCAACCTGACATCTTTTCTTAAACAAGAAACACGAAATAAACCTTTACACGTGTTCCAGAAACCGGGTAATTTATTATTGTTTCTTGCAAACATCTACTTTTATAGTGATTTTCTAAGCCCGGCTTAGATGTGGCACAAGGCCGAAAGTATGTGGCACCCAGTGAGGATCGAACTCACTACTCAGTCGGAATTGATCAAGCAAGACAAACTTTCTAACCATATACACCACATCGAGGTGCCCCAAAAATAATTTGACTAGTGATTTTCTATGCCCGGCTTAGATGTGGCACACGGCCGACAGCATGGGGTACCCAGTGAGGATCGAACTCACTACTCAGTCGTAATTGATCAAGCAAGACAAACTTTCTAACCATTACGCCACGTCGAGGTGCCCAAAACAGTAATTTGACTAGTGATTTTCTAAGCCCGGCTTAGATGTGGCACACGGCCGAAAGTATGTGGCACCCAGTGAGGATCGAACTCACTACTCAGTCGGAATTGATCAAGCAAGACAAACTTTCTAATCATTACGCCACGTCGAGGTGCCCAAACCCCTACTTTTATATAAGAGACTCGAGTGGAGTGCAAAGCGGACGATAGGCGAACCTACCAACTCCTATGTAGGAAAAATAAATATTAAATATTAAATTAAATTTTCCGAGTTTAGGCAAATGCAACGGAGTATGGGGTTGAAGCATACTTTAGAAGTAACCTGATACCTTTTCCTAAAGAGGAAATACGAAATAAATTACTACATTTATTCCAGATACCAAGAAGGACTGTGAACTGCATAATTTATTATTCCTTGCAAACCCCTGCTTTGTTATGTCATATCCTTTAAAAATGCTAATGATATTATTCTTTGCTCTGTGTTCTCTATCTGCTTACTCCCATTTACTTCCCCCTTGGAGTGTCAAATCGTTATAATGGGGCCTCACATCAGTGAGGGGGGCCGGTGTGCAACTGAAACCGTTGAGAGGAAGGCCCCGAATCGGTGCACATTCTCTCCTGATGACCCCAGTTTAAATAAAAATTCGAGAGGAACACATCAAAATTCAGTGAAGTCATATGCCGTAGAGAAGCTCGGTGGAAGTGCCATTGGTATGAGGAGCATTACACATTCAGCTCGCTTCAGGTGAGTTTCAATTACTCTCTAGTAATTACCTTCTTTTTAAAAATTGCTAATGATATTATTCTTCGCTCTGTGTTCACTATCTGCTTACTCCTATTTATTACCACCGATGTGGAGTGTCAAATTTAAATCGATGCCATTAACAACAGCTGAGACATGGAAGACCTTTTCCGGAGTCGTGACCAACGTAGCGCGTGTAACAAAGACCGACAACAAAGAAAGCTTTTCTACTTATTAAAGAGGCTCTAAATGGACATTCCTTAGGTAGATTTAAAATGTCAGTTGAACCAACAAAAAAAAAAATTGTCTTTTAGGTAACCCTTTCTTTTTTTCTGAGGACGTGATCGAAGAATATGGGGTGTCAAAGTTGATTAATGTAGGAACAACATGAAAACGAAAGATGATGGATGGTTAAAGTGAATGAACTTGTAATTATTTGTGATGTATCTAATTAGACTTCGCTTCAGTGTCTCTGAGGCAAGAAAATTCCCTGCTGAACTTTCCATCATTCCATTAATTATTCACCTAATTATGCTCTCTCTACCTCTCTCTCTCTCCCTCTCTCTCTCTCTACGCCTCTCTCTCTCTACGCCTCTCTCTCTACCTCTCTACTCTCTCTCTCTCTCTCTCTCTCTCTCTCACATTTCTTCATATTTCACTGTGTTCATTATTTCTCTTCTTAATCGATGACTTGAATCCAATTTCTCTTTCTTGACTGGATTACTTTTCCAAGACACTTCCTGTCATCTATCTATCTATCTATCTATCTATCTATCTATCTATCTATCTATCTATCTATCTATCTATCTATCTATTATAGTCTGCTTATTATCCATCTGTTCATCTATCTATCATATATTGTTCATTAACTCTCTATCGCTCTCTTACTCTGTTTATATGTCATATTATGTTCTTTAACTATCATATTATGCGCATTATTTATCAATCATATGTTCAGTATCTATCTATCTCAGTGTACACATCTATCTATCTATCTATCTATCTATCTATCTATCTATCTATCTATCTATCTCAGTATACACATCAACTATCTATCTATCTATCTATCTATCTATCTATCTATCTATCTATCTATCTATCTATCTCAGTGTACACATCAACTATCTATCTATCTGTCTATCTATCTCATTGTACACATCTATCTATCTATCTATCTATCTATCTATCTATCTATCTATCTATCTATCTATCTATCTATGTTCATTACCTATGATGCTCGTGCTTTATCTGTATATCTATCAGATTATGTTCATTATCTATCTATCTATCTATCTATCTATCTATCTATCTATCTATCTCAGTTTGTTTCTATCGATCGGTCTATTTCAATGTGTTTATAGCTATATCGCGAATGACTATCGATAGTTATCCTTCCCCAGAAGTCAAAACCTTTCTACAACCGTTGTCTTCATCCTATATTCTGACCGAACAATCTCCCGATTTATATCGACCATTGCCTTTCATCTTTCTTAGCCAAAAGGAAGATGATTTTTTTTAGGAGTAAACTATTAAATGCAGTCCACCCGTTCTCCTTTCCTCATCGGCCAAAATATTCAATAGCTCTCGGTTTCTCTTCAACCTCTTTTGCCTAAAGCAACCTTGCTTTTTCGACAATCAATTCTCTAAATCTTTGTGCACCAGCGGTCTACCACCTTTGCTGCAACTTTTCACTATTTCCTTCAGTTGTCCTCATTTCTTCTATGTATTTATATTTTTAAAAATGTACACACACACACACACACACACATATATATATATATATATATATATATATATATATATATATATATATATATATATAGCAACATGCCAAGCCGCATACACAATTCCGGAAAATCCTTGTTGAAATACTAACTATACTTAAACATGAAAACAATAAACGAAAATTAAAAAATTCTTGAAGCTATATACATAAAACAGTTGAAACCTAACCAGAACAAATTAAACAATGAAATTTCCACAAATATTCTTAAATGCCTATAATTGAGAACAGAAGCCATTGGTTTATTATACCAACGGCTTCCCATACTTAATACTTCTCGTTTTCACTCTCGCGTGGTCATGTGAGATGTCACGAGCTGCGGTGCGATTTTCGCTTCCGGCGTCTTGTATGCACGCGTTTGTCGTTGCTTGGAAATCTTCCATGTAAACAGAAACAGACTATCATCACTGTGTTGTCTGTGTATTGCTTCATATATTGTACTGTAATTTGTCATCTTTGTTAATCGCTTATGTAAGCCGAAAGCTTAGATTGGATTAAAAAATATGTATCAATATTGTGATTTTCTTTCTTCGTTTAATGATAATGTTATTAAGCTTATCAGACGTTATGAAAAGAATTTACATAAAATAAACAGGCAACACTTGTCTATATTATTTAATGAAACATGCATCAATATATATATATATATATATATATATATATATATATATATATATATATATATATATATATATATATATATATATATATGAACATTGAGATCATCATCCAGTTTTTCTTTCATGATTAAACGATCATCAAGCGATTCATATTAACATACACTCTATTTCTGCTGCTGAGCACTTTAACCGAGAATTATAACACAACTTAAAACTATATTTTTATCATATATATACCGGCTGTAACAGCAAAATTGTCCAACTCGTGTAACAACAAAATTGTCCAATTGTTAGTTTAAACTTTGTACTATTGTATCTTATAAATTATTAAAGATATCTAACTGGAATTCTCCGAGGATTTTATTAGACTTTACTTGAACAGTCTACCCCAGTGAGCGAAATAAATAGTCCAGTTCGACATTCCCACCACCTGAAGAAGGTCGGAGCGTGCAACGGCCGAATCGTTGTAATAAATATAGCGACAAAGATGAGGATAATAGTCAGGATATTGTAAATAGTGTACTACTAGTGTAAGATGGCAGCGCACAGACATCATTTAGCCCAACACGAATTGGGATTTATTGGGAAACTGTGTCTGGATTTAATTTGTTATCTCTTCTATGCGATAGTGTAGTTTAGTGGATTTTGCATTCCATTTGGAAATTCTGCAACGAGGGTTTATGGGTTTTAAATACATTTCCATTTAAAAATCGAGCACAACGTTCTGTCATTTGCTACAGTCTTTCAACCGGGAATGCAAACAATCTACTTTTGCATCGCATTGCTTATAGGTGATGAAAAATGGGTTTTGCATATCAGCTAAAAATGATCAAGGAAATTTCCTCTCTGGAGGCCTATTCCGCAGAGTATCCGTTCTCGGGTAGAAGCTATCTGAGTTGAAATTGCTTCTTAGCAATCGAATATGAAGTAAGTGAGGATGATTCGTTCCCGTGTACATAGCATGGCGTCTCGTATCTGTGAAGGTCTGAACTGGCTGGAGAAACTAGCGAGTGTAGCTCGTTAGAACATTTTTCACAGAAATAGCGATAGACAAGCGATAGTCTTGCGATATCGCGTTTGAGTTTTAGGGCCGAAGGTAATTCATCGACAACAAGGCCACCTGAGCAGGATTGTTTAGGAAATTTTATTAAATGTCCTACTAAAATTAACTTGGTAAGTGAGCAATAAATCACTATTGCTTTTCTTAATATCTTCCCGATGAACGGTAGTCGAGCCAGTTACGTTGATAATTACTACAGATGGAAAGAGCTCAGGGTGAAAGCAATTAAAACGTTGAGTAGCAAGCGCAACATAAAGGAATAAGAAGATTGATCGCTTTAATAAGCATCCTGACAGTGCGTAGAATCTCGCTTAATGCTAGTTCTGATAGTATAGCTGCTCAGTAGATCGGACATTTTCTTAGAGTCAATGAATTATTCACTCTATTTGATCCTTCAATAGACGAGCGTGTCCGCAGAAGAAAAAGTGATGAACTGCGCATGCGTCATTGGGGCAAACAACAGTCAAAATGATTCTTATTCAGATATTAGCGATTGCAACCATAGCGTAGATTATACAACTCGTGAATAACTCAAAATGTCTTTCTTTAATCGCTGGCTGCACACCTGATGTAAATTATGCCAAACAAATCGTAAGACGTTTTGAACACTTTCTTAGTCTAGTGTTAACAGAAGAGGACATTTTCTGGGATTCATTCCTACAGAAGAATCAAAAGGCATTTAAAACAAATAGAAAACAAAGACAAAACAGACTACATACAAAACATCTTGAAGTCTTATCCTTTGGTGTTGATGATATCCGAGGACAAAGATACACTAGATGAGGCAATGAGCTGTAGCTCTTCAGGACGTGGGTGATAATGGCTTTCTACAACTTCTTACCATTTTTATCTCTTAACAGTGTTTTTACTATCCCACCCACTACTTGTTCTGCCATCCATTTACATAATCTCGTCAGCTAGAAAACAGTTTCCTTCCGGCCCTTTTGCTTTCAATAGGTTCTGTGAATGTCAAATTTTCCAAGTCTTTTTCTTTTATTTTGTGACCAAGAAATTTCAACGGCCTCTTCCTGATTCTCAATATAAGTGTCTGTTTCGTTATCATTTTATTGCTTACATGCTATTCTCAGCATCTTTCTGTAGTATCTTTTTAGGAAGTTTTCTTGTTTGTTTTTTGTTTGTTTGTTTTTTGAAGACATCTTTTGTTATTTTTGTTGTTCATGATCATCTTTGAGTATAGAATCCAGAGGTTAGCAGTGAATATTTTGAAGACAGTAGGAAAGCGTTGTTCAGGTTAGCAGTGGATATTTTGGTAAAAGTAGCAGAGCGTAGTTCAGTAGTTCTTCCTTCTGTTCCTCTTCGCCTGACAAGCTGGCACTGGACATTCGGATAGAGTAAACAAAATGGCCGCCTTTATACACGACGGATTGAATATTCTACGTTTTTTGATTGGTTAACCTTCTATTGGTGGACTATAAAGTGAGTCAAGTCATTTGGGCTAGCTCACTAGTACATAAATATACACAAAAACTGCAACAATTTTAACGAGTCTTCATCTTTCGGTGTCACATAGGATAATATAAGTAACTCGAAAAGAAACGTAATGTTCATCAGAGACGAAATTTAAGCATGAAACATTTTAGACATGACCTCTTTTTATTTCCTGTTTGTATTCCATAAATTCGTATACGGACAAATGATGTCTGTGTGCTGCCATCTTACACAAGTGGAATAACTCAATCAGATTTACCATTCGTCCGTGTGTTGAATATTCCTGCCAAATCTAGTCTAGTATTCCTGCAGCAAATCTCGAGATTCTTGGCAAAATTAAAAAAAAAGGGTCCGAAATATAATCGATCCTGATCTGTCATCTCGACACCAGTCATTTTCTCGCCAACGTGACGTGGCTTCCCTCTGTCTTTTCTAAAAAATATTTTCGTAACAACAACTCTGATGAGTTTTTTTTCCGCTGGCTCCACGACTACATGAATCCAAACATGCTACTAGATTGTCAGTTAGGTCCCACCATTTCTACTCTACCATTTTCTTTTCCCGCAATTCCCATCTGTGGAACTCCCTTGCGATTTCTTGCCGTCCTGATAATTACAATCTTCGAAAATTGAAGGGAAACGTCAATTATATCTCTGTCTTATTAAATCCCGTTCCTTTTTGCCCTTTTTTCGATCCTCACGATTATCAGGTTTCTCATTCAATTTCATTCATTCTCATCCCCTTTCACTTCCTGTAAACACCGACGTTCTAATGTTATTATCCCCTTGCTTTGAGTGACACGATTAAAAATAAAACTTAAGTGTATCTATCTATCTATCTATCTATCTATCTATCTATCTATCTATCTATCGCTTTTCATATGTATGTATATATGTATGTATGTATCTATACAATTTTCATGTTTATCTGAATCTCTTCATTTTTATCTATTATCTTCATTTCTGTCTGTCTATCTGTCTATCTATCTATCTATCTATCTATCTATCTATCTATCTATCTATCTCATACTTTTTATATCTATCTATTTATCTATCTCATTCTTTTTATATCTATGTCTCATTCTTTTTATATCTATCTATCTATCTATCTATCTATCTATCTATCTATCTATCTATGTCATTCTTTTTCTATCTATCTATCTATATATCTATCTATATATCTATCTATGTCATTCTTTTTCTATCTATCTATCTATCTATCTATCTATCTATCTATCTATCTCATTCTCTTCTCCATCATTTGTCAAATTTTGTGCATTTATTTTTGAAGATCGTCTGAAAAAATATACAGAAACACCTAATTTCTGCAGGTCTTTCTTGCAGACTTCAAAATTTTATCATTTCAAGAATAAATGCAAATAAATTTAATATATTTTGTATTAGATTCATTGATTGGAAAATATATTTAAACCCGAATTCAAATTGTCAATCACCGCAATCAAAATATGCATTTTTTTTACAGTACCCGATAAGTAAAAACTGTGTAAAACAATCATAAAAGATTATAAAAACGGCTATTTAATTAGTAATGGTTATTAGATCATTTGTAAGATTATAATTAATATAAACATAAAATAGATAAAAGTGGATATACAGCTGGGCACAAACTCTAAGATAAAAAAGATTGAAAATCATACTAAAACTACAGCACTTTATAGCATATTAGATTATAATATAGCTAAAATTTCACTTTGAAGTAAATGAAGGCCTCTTTGATGAAACAATAATTTAGTAATAATGAACTTACATCATGCATATTGTCAATATAAAATTTGTAAAGCTTCAGTAAATTATAAATTTTATAAGTCTGTGCTATAAGGCTTTCACTGGAATGAAGGCCATCACCGGAATGAAATTCCAACGCTACGATTTTAAACTTAAACTTATGCCTTAAACTTGTTTCCTCAAAAACGGTAAAGAATTGGAAGAAAATATTTTGCGTTTTCATTTATCGTGTCAAACCACAACTTTCAAATTGAGTGCAATGCCACGGTTCCAAATCGACCTTCAGTATTAGTACAACGTTTTTATTTTTATACTTTCTTTTTAACAATAGACGAACCGTTTGTTTTACTCAAAAAATGTTAAACTTAATCCCCCAAGCAAAAAGAGGAAGAGTTGTAGCGCATTTATCATTTCTGCATTGACCAGAGCAGATATACGATAAATTATTGAAAAATTGAAGATGTTGTCAGAGTTAGCTCCTCCTTTAGTTCCTTAATCCTTCAACAGGGGTCTCTCTTTCCTGGCTATAAATACTGGCTAACCCTTCGCCTCGATCTCTTTTTTCCTTAGGCCTTATACCACCTCGCAGATCTGAGCTCTCACAGATACAGGGTTTCCCTAATGCTGGGAAGACGCTGAGAACAATACACGTACGTACGAACACTCACCACAACACAACACACACACACATAATATTCACCACACGCACTCTGTCCATGTTACTGTCCATGTAACTTATAACCTTTCTTGTTATTAATACATATATTTGTTTACATATATTTATCGGTCTTGTTTGATTTCTTGGTTTTCTTTGGACTTAATTAAAGTCCAACTTTCTCATGTAGTTGGACCGGCTGGCAGGAAGTTTTAACTCACGTGTGTTCTTCGACAATACATACTCATCACCACCACAGTCCTCTACAATGTTTCTCTCACTAGAACTTTCCAATCATCAACGTATTGTTAGGGAAAGAATCTTGCCCAAGTAAATTCAAAGTATACATTGCTGGCGCCATTGTTGGTTGTCGCTTTATTTTAAAAGGGAAACAATGTTACTAATAAGTTCGTACAGTAATAAAAAGAGAATCTGGATTTTTGTTTCACTCTGAACGGGAGACAATAGAAAAATTTTACTAGATTGGAAAAACGAAGAGGTATTCGGAGAAAATAGTATGTGTTTTACAGGAATTAGCGGACATCTTAGAACATTAACAGCACGATTATGGACATGATTATGATATCAGTCAAAAAAAGATTTTTAAAAAAATGGAAAAAATAACTAAATTCTTTAGCTTTTTCGATGATATTTCTAAATTGGCAAGAGAACTATGCATCGAAGTTCTTGAACGTTGTGAAAAATGGGCTTCTGTTCTAGACTATAATAGGCATTCTGACATTAATTAGGAGTGACAAATGAGTTGAAAGTCAACGAAACGGAAAATTACAGAGAATTCTCCTAAAGGCGTTATGGAAATCATTTTTTCCCTGTAAATTAGAGGTCGGTGTGCCTAACATTCTAATTGCTCCAAGAATTTTTGTCAATTACTGTCGTAAGCGGTGAGCAATTTCTTTTCTGTGTATGTTTGTTTTGGTTTTTTTTTTTTTTTTTTTCCTAAACTTAAATTTACCAAATCTATCTTCTTTGAACAACGAACACAGACCGACTCTATGGGCTGGTTACAGTTTCTGTTGCAGAACAATCGATGTATGCGATGGATTTAAATGAACTCGTGAAAACCTTTGCGGAGACAAAGGTAAAGTAAGTAAAACTTTGAAAAGAAAGAAATAAGTCAAGGTCGCCAAGATTTATTTCTAATTTCCTTTTAAAATCGTTAAGTTCTTGTGATGACGTAATCGCTGTTAGCTATTATTTTAGACCCACTTGCCTGTCGAATAAAAGGGAGATATCAAATAAAAGGGGGTCTTTCAATTTCTAAAACTTTAATGATCGGAAGGTTCAAATTAAAGAGGGATACATTTTTGTGTCAAGTCAATTCTCGACAAAGAAGTAATTAAAATGTCTTCCTAAGCAGATATAACGACATCGACACTTAGAAGTTGTAATAAATTAGGAAATTAATAAGAAGCTTTAAACTAAACAAAATGGCAGTGTGAATAACGGTCGAGTGATTTGGAAACGGCGAGATAACATTGAAAATCATAATATTCTCAATGAAGATTTACTTTCAGTGTTTTCAAATACGTCGGTTGATATCTACGGTTTGTGTCAAGAGAGAAAGGCAGCTGGCCACAAAGTAAATAAGATGCATTTCTAAGTACAGAGATAGGGTGTGATGAGTTTCCTAAGATAATGATGAGGATGATGATAATAATAATAATAATAATAATAACAAAAAAATGTTCTGAAAAATTGTTCAGAACAAGTACAGCCCACACTTTACGAAGGGCTTTGTCAATGTAATTTTTTTTTTTTTTTTTGTCAGTGGAAAGTGTCATGATGCCATTTCTAACCTTAGGTCCCTGGGCGGGACCCGGAAAGAAATGTGTAAACGCCAGAAATCAAAGATAATAATAATAATAATAATAATAATAATAATAATTATTATTATTATTATTATTATTATTATTTTGAAAATCTTAATAAGCATATCATCCTATATACAAGAAGCAGTTAGAAATAATCACTTTGATAATTAATAATCAATTTGATAATGAATAATACGCTTAACTAAACGAAAATATATGTTATAAATTTAAAATGGCAAGATTACATTTAAAAGGGATCCAGAACAATAGTCTAAGGAATGATGGTCAAAGAAACACTCGTCTAAAAAATATACCGCTAAGAAATATTTGTACAGAGAATTATGGTCTAATGTTTTAGTATTAATAAACAAAAAATGCATACCAATAAATGCTTATAAACCACGTTTATCATCAGTAATTAATGTTGCTATAAGTGTCTTAAATATTATTCTGAAATATAGTAAATATCAATACAATTAATACAAGAACAAAGGGTTGATTTATTAAAAGTATTTATTTGAGCAATGGTCCTTAGACGAATATTCCTATTCCTATTTAAATCATCGTAGTCATTACTAAGATATAATTTTCTGTTCCTGTAATAGAAACAGTTCGTTGTTTTCACACACCTTGATTGGTAGGAAAAATTAGTGAAATGAGAGGCACTTCGTCAAAAAGAGAAAATTCAAGCGAATTCGTACGTATGAATAGAATCGGATGGGATGTTTTGAGATTTCTTAACTAATAGAATATATTTACATTATTCGGACTTTTATCCTCATCTTTGTCGCCATATTTATCACAACGTTTCGGTCGTTGTACGCTCCGGCCTTCTTCAAGTGGTTGGAATGTCGAACAACCCTTTATTTCGTTCACTAGGGTAGACTGTTCTAGTTCCACGTGCCATGTTTGATGGATATCAGTTATCAGTTGTTAATTCCCCTTTCCAAGTTCTCCACTGCCTTAACCAGGTATTGAACTCACACTCTTTGGATCCTGTCACTAACCAACGACTTTATCCACTGTGCCATGTTTCCTTGAGGTGATAGCTGATAACTGACATCCATTAAAAATGACACATGGAACTAGGACAGTCTACCCCAGTGTGCGAAATAAAGGGTTCAGTTCGACATTCCAACCATCTGAAGAAGGCCGGAGCGTACAACGGCCGAAACGTGATAAATATGGCGACAAAGATGAGGACAATAGTCCGAATAATGTAAATAATGTACATAATACCTCATCTCAGAAATATAGACAGACTAAGAGACCTTTCTCACTTTATTTGAATCACCTCGTTTAGCAAAATTCCATGTAAAAAAAAACAAACAAAAAGACAAACTAAAATGAACCCCGGAGGCACGGTGAAGTAATAGAAATCGTCTCGGATTACGGAATCGGAGAGCCGAGTTCGAATTCCAGTCGAATCCATTATATTTACATATGTATTTTCACAGAATACGTATAGCTTATTATGACCCCAGGCACCAGCGTTTAACGCTTGCCTTCTCACCAAGTTAGAGATATTACCAGTTACGATGACACTGTTGGGCTTGCGTATAATAATTTAAGAACAATCATTTAGCCACAACAGTTTTAACTAGGAGTCTAAATTGCTGAAGTCTCCTCGGTGATTTCATATTTTGTGAATGCCTCAGGCGGCATAGAGTAAACCTAAAATCCTCCGGATAGGGAGATACTTCCCGAGGGAATGTCCTTTCGTGCGTGACTGCAAGAATCATTAGTGTTGGTGCGGTTAGGTAATCTAAGCATCATCTAACCCAATGTTTTTCAAACCTTTTTCTGTAAAAATCTAGGATGAAGCCCAAAACTGTCCATTTTGAATTCAGAATTTTCCGGACCGTTTTTGACGAAGTCCAAACTCTCCATTTTGAATTTAGAGGTTTCGTTTTTTTGACGAAGCCCAAACCTCTCCATTTTGATTTCATAGCTTTCAGTGATATAGGACCGTTTTTGATGAAGTCCAAACTCTCCATTTTGAATTTAGAGCTTTCAGTGATATAGGACCGTTTTGACGAAGCCCAAACCTCTCCATTTTGATTTCATAGCTTTCAGTGATATAGGACCATTTAGAATTTTTTGAATTTAGGGCTTTTTCAGTGATATAGGACCGTTTTGACGAAGCCCAAAGCTCTCCATTTAGAATTCAGAGTTTTCAGTGATATAGGACCGTTTTGACGAAGCCCAAAGCTCTCCATTTAGAATTTAGAGTTTTCAGTGATATAGGACCGTTTTGATATTTAGAATTTTCAGACCGTTTTGATGAAGCCCATTTTGAATTCGAGTTTTCTCCATTTTGACGAAGCCCAAAGCTCTCCATTTAGAATTTAGAGTTTTCAGTGATATAGGACCGTTTTGACGAAGCCCAAACGTCTCCATTTTGAATTCAGAGTTTTTCCTTCTCCTTCTTATAGAACCCAGCCTGTTCTGCTATTTCCCCATATCTGTGGGGTGAGGAGAAGAAGTGGATTCATACCTTTCCCAAGTCTATTAGCCTTTAAGTGACTGTAATAGTTCCGATTGGAATTAGAACCTAGCTCTCCGATTCCTCAATCCGAGCCGCTATCCATTACTCCACCGTACCCTCCTCTTTACTTACTACATAAGGTAAATAACATCTAAGTGAAAAGCTCAAAGGATAGAGGATTATGTTGTAGTAGCCGGCATTTAGGAAACAGTCAGCACCTTATTAAGTTTTTAACTTACGATATCTGCTATCAAAGTGAAATCGCCGCAAAAAATATTTTCACTTAAACGCTTGAGCGGGGTTCCCACCAAGATAATCCAATCTTGTTGCCGAAAGACAAGTAATATAATTGAATAAAATTGATTAGAAGATGCAGAGCATTCACTTACACATGCGTTAGGAGCCAATAAAGTTGGTCCGAAGTCTCTTCTTTTGGTAAGCAGGCGTCGCTTAAAAAGAGGAATTATCTTTCAGGTTTTTATAGCTAAAGCCTCTTGTATTAATACCCGATAGTGAATGAGATCGGTTAAACTGAAAAAGAAAGAAAGAAATATTAAATATTCATTTATACAGTTAGAGTTTCTTTTTTTCCTTTTTTTTTTCGTTTCTTTCATTCAAGAGAAATACGAACAGAAAATAACTTATAATTAGTCAGTTTCTGTTGAATCTTTTTAAAAGATTTCAACATCTACCAGTTAGAAAGCGAAAGGCAGTAAATGCCCCTATGAATATGCGAGCAAATGTGTGAAACAAACGTCAATAACAGGAACAAGGTATTATAAATAATAAATGAATAATGATGAAAAATAATAAATAAATCAAAAAGCTTCTTAGTAAATGAGGTTCCCAGTTGTGCTCATCTCTTTTATCGATTCTTTATTTTGTTGTGAAGAATTCGGAAAGAAATAAAAAGACATTGATGACATTTATTGGCCTCAAGTTTCGACAATGACTGGAAAAGATATGCAGGATCAATGATAGATGCGTCAAGCTCCAATTAGATATCTTTCTTTCTTTCTTTCTTTCTTTCTTTCTTTCTTTCTTTCTTATTTTCTTTCTTTCTTTTTTTTCTTTCTTTCTTTCTTTCTTTCTTTCTTTCTTTCTCTTTCCTGTCTGTCATTCACGCTTTCTCGCCTTTTACGCCACTTTTCTTTCTTTCTTTCTTTCTTTCTTTCTTTCTTTTTTGATCTCTCTTTCTAGTCTGTCATTCACACTTTCTCGCCTTTTACGCCACTTTTCTTTCTTTCTTTCTTTCTTTCTTTCTTTCTTTTTTGATCTCTCTTTCCTGTCTGTCATTCACACTTTCTCGCCTTTTACGCCACTTTTCTTTCTTTCTTTCTTTCTTTCTTTCTTTCTTTCTTTCTTTCTTTCTTTCTTTTTTTTGATCTCTCTTTCCTGTCTGTCATTCACACTTTCTCGCCTTTTACGCCACTTTTCTTTCTTTCTTTCTTTCTTTCTTTCTTTCTTTCTTTCTTTCTTTTCTTTCTTTCTTTTTTGATCTCTCTTTCCTGTCTGTCATTCACACTTTCTCGCATTTTACGCCACTTTTCTTTCTTTCTTTCTTTCTTTCTTTCTTTATTTCTTTATTTATTTCTTTATATAATTTTTTCCATTTTTTTTCCTTATTTTCTTTTGTTTTTCTTAGCTTTCTCCCCACGTCTCTTATTCTCCATCTCTCTTCATTTTCTTTATTGGTCTCGTTTTTTTTTCTTTGTTTTCTCTTTATTTTTCTTTATTTTTTTATTCCTTCCTTCCTTGTTTGTTTGTTTCTTTCTTATTTTTCTGTCTTCATTTGTTTTCATGTTTATCGGCCTCTCTCTTTCCTTTCCTTTAGGTCTCTTTCCTTGATATTTCTCCTTTTCCTTTTTTATTGTGGTGTTTCTCTTTCTTTCTTTCTTTCTTTCTTTCTTTCTTTCTTTCTTTCTTTCTTTGTCTCTCTCTATTTTATGCCTTTACTTCTTTCGACTTTCTTAGTCTCTTTTCTCTACTTTTCTTTCTCTTACTTACTTTTTCTCCTTTTCCTTTTTTCTTTTTCTTTCTTTCTTTCTTTTGTTGTTGTTTTTTCATCTTCCTCGTTTTTCTTTTCTTTCTTTTCATCTTTTTTCATCTTTGCTTTCTTTCTTTCTCCATTTACTTAGTTCACCAGCATATCCTGTTGGCTTTGGGCAAAAGTGTTCTATGTAGAGGAGCGCATTTAGTGGGAGCGTCAAAGAACTGGAGACACATGGTAGATGAGCTAACAATCGATAATCGATACCCATTTACATCACCTTGTATGGCCAGAGTAAATACCAATGTCTATACTTGATTCTTCAACAACAAGCTGACATCCACTTCAATATTAACTGAATTTTGCTGTCTCATTGAAGAATAGCCCATGCAAACGTAGAACTGACTTGATTTCTGAGCCATCACAAAGGAAGAGCAGAGTGGGTCGTTTCCTTGAGTCCAGTTTACGTATGTTTTATGCTTTGCTTAATAATTTCTTAAAATCTGTGCTACAAAGAACTTTGGGCAATAATATCTCGTGAATGCCACTGTTTTCCTACTTCTCTACAGATGATCTGAAACTTTTACGTCGCGTTATACGCCGACAATGTCCAGTTGACAGGGAGTGATGAAAGTTATTGGCCGAAAATAGCATTGTCAGCACTCCAGGGTTGGTATTAGGTTTGTTAGAAATGAGGACTGCAAATCGCACATCACAAGCACGGCTATGTCCAGTTGACAGGGAGTGACGAAAGTTATTGGCCGAAAATAGCATCATCAGCGCTCCAGGGTTAGGATGAGGTTTGTTAGAACTGAGTATTGTCCTCATCTTTGTCGCCATATTTATCACAACGTTTCGGCCGTTGTACGCTCCGGCCTTCTTCAGGTGGTTGGAATGTCCAACTGAATGCTTTATTTCGCTCACTGGGGTAGACTGTTCTAGTTCCACTTGCCATGTTTGATGGATGTCAGTTATCAGTTATCTCCTGCTTAATTTAATTTCCCTATGATACACATTGTATTACCTGTATAACTGTGTGCTGGACAAACGAACAGGGTTCAAGACATGGGCGAGGATATATTATGATTATTCCACATGACAATTATCACCACCGCCTTCTAACATGAGTAAACATGCAATTGAAGAGCTCGGTTGCGAAGTTCTGCCACACCCATCATATTCTTGCGATTTATCACCTTCAGACCAATATTAACTTCGGTCGCTTTCTGACAATTTGAGGGGTGCTTCGTTCTACAACGATGTGAAGCTTAAAACGTGGCTTGATGAGTCAATAGACGAGACATAGATAATCTTCCGTATGCATCAGTAACAGTTATCTCCCTTTTAACTCAACTGTCCAAGTTTTTGTTCACCTTAGCCGTAGCCACGTGGATAAAAGCGTTGGTTGAATCCAGTGACTTGACTCAGAAAGTGGTGAGTTCAATACCTGGCTACAGCTGAGGTGAAGGAAAGAGTTAAAGGGAGATAACTAATACTGTGACAACTGACAGAGGCATTGCACGTGGAACTAGAACAATCTACCACTGTGGACGAAATAAAGGGTTCACTTCACCTGAAGACAAACATAAAACAGCTGAAACGTCGTGAATAGGGCAACAAAAATAACGACAACAGTCGAAGTATGTAAATAGTGTAAATAATTAACTCCGCAAACAAATATAGATGGATATCTATCTATCTATCTATCTATCTATCTATCTATCTATCTTATTCACTTCATATCTATCTATCTATCTATCTATCTATCTATCTATCTATCTATCACATTCTGTTTCTATCTATCTATTTATCTATCGCATTGTTTCTATCTATCTATCTATCTATCTATCTATCTATCTATCTATTATCTGTTTCTATCTATCTATCTATCTATCTATCTTATTCATTTCATATCTATCTATCTATCTATCTATCTATCTATCTATCTATCTATCGCATTCTGTTTCTATCTATCTATTTATCTATCGCATTGTTTCTATCTATCTATCTATCTATCTATCTATCGCATTCTGTTCATATTTATTAATATTATGTAATATTAAGAGTACGCCATAAAGATCTGTTGGAGCTGCTCAGCAACCTTGACATATTTGGGAAAAACATTAGTATGATCAAAAACCTCTATTGGCAAAAAATCACTTGCATAAAGATATGACAAAAATGTGAAGAGGCGTAAGGCAAGGATGTGTCTTCTCACCTGACCTTTTCAACCAAAACAGCGAGGCAACTCTGAAAGAACTGGAACGTCTACCAAGATTCATAATTGGCAGCCACAATCTTAGTAACATAAGATACGCAAATGACATAGTGCTGGAAGCAGACACGTAAAGGAAACTCCAAAACCTCCTACAGAAGGTAGCGAAGGAGAGCGAGAAGAAGGGACTAAGCATAAACTGCAAGAAGACAGAATGCATGGGTATCATCAAAATGGTGAGCCCGAAATACGATTTACAGGTCGGGGATACTAAAATCAAGCAGGTGCAAAAATTTAAATATCTGGGAAGTGTTCGGATAGAGGATTTTGAGTGAGGCGCTGAGATCCGAAGATGTATTGGGGTTGCCAAAGACGCATTCCAAAAGCTAGTCAAAGTATTACAAGACAGGAGGGTTTCGTTGGTAACAAAGAAAAGAGTACTGAACTGCTACGTGATACCTGTCCTCCTTTACGGCAGCGAATGTTGGACGGTCTCCTCAAAGATGAAGAAGAGACTCGAGGCAACAGAGGTATGGTTCTACAGAAGGATGCTAACGATATCATGGACCGAATGTGTGAGCAAAGATAAGATTTTGGAGAGAATGAAAACAAAAAGGAAACTCATACTTAACATCAGGAAGAGGCAGGTGAAATTTCTGAGACATGTAATGAGAAAAAAGGGCTTGGAGAATGTGATACTCACAAGGCGATAGGGGGAAAGAGGGACAAAGTGTCGAGAAAATCTCGACCCCTCAAAAAGTCCAGAGACAGTGCAGGCCGAGGAATGGAGCAAAAGTACTTACCTTAAGTTGCGAAAAATATTTCCTTCCGCGACGTAGCTTAATCACCTGATAACTTGCATTGAGTTACAAGAACAGCAAAAAAAAAAAAAAAGGAGGAAAAACATTACCTTTATAGCCACTTCAGGTATCACGTGGTAACAAGTCACGAGACCCTGTGCCTTTTCTTCACATATTTTTATGAGAACTGTTTGGATGAGCTGTTTTCCCTGGTGTCTCGACACTACAAATTTAAGTGTGCTAATAGATTGGCAACTAGAATCCGCCATTTTACTGTTGTCTTAACTAGACGCAACCGTCACTTTTATTCTAACAGTGTCTTTTATAGCACTTCTCACCCGTGGAGCGTCTTTCCAATTTCTTGCTAGCAACAATCCTCAAAAATTTAAAAGCAATCCCAATCACCATCTGTCTTCCTGAACTCTGTTATTTTATTGTCTTTTGCTAACTTCTCCTCATTAAATTATTTTCATTCTCTTTCACTCCCTGTACGCCCCCTGCATCCTATTGGCATTATCGCCTTACTTCGTGTGAAATAAATAAAACAAATATTGATTCTCGGCTGACATGAAGTAGATTATGCTGAATTAGTTGCTAGATCTGCTGATAAGTTGGTTTACTGCGTCGTGCTAGACATTATTTCTCACCAGAATCTATCTTGGTATGACGATAAACAACATCCGTGTCCTGAATAAGCCGATAAACTACGTCCAACAGCAAGGCTTCTGATCAGAAGGTTTTGAGAAGCGTGGAGCCACCTCTTAATTGCTGGTGTTCCCTGGTCTACCCTGACCTGGAGTGGTAGCACCTGTTAGGGTCCCAGCTATGGGCAAATAGTTAACGCTTAAACAGTGGTCTAAATCTATGAAAATGTAAAAGTCGGTTTTAATACTGTTGAGAAAATCTCAACCAAAAAAAATGTCCAAAGACGGTTCTGGCCGTGGAAAAAGGTAAACGTACTTCCGTAATTAAGGAGCAAAAGTACTTACTTAGTTGCGAAAAAAAAAAAAATTCCTTCCACGATGTAGCTTAATTGTCTGATAACTTGCACTGAGTTACAAGAAGAGCGAAAAAATGGAGGAAAAAAGCATTTATTTTTTTAAAGTCACCATTGTACCGGTGGAGTAATGGGTGACAGCTTGGATTGAGGAATCGGAGAGCCGAGTTCGAATTCTATTACATTCATTTACGTGCGCATAACCTTGAGAAAAGTATGAATTCTCTTCTCACTCTATCTATGGGTAAATAGCAGGACAGACCAGGTTCTATAGCCTTGGATGGCAACTGGTTTACTGCGGGAAAAAATCTGCCTCGTCAGTCATGTATCTAAAGATACATGAACGCTTAAGCGTGTATCACGCATGGCGCATTACTGACTGATGTACACATTAGGCGCCCTAAACGTTGGTTTCCTGTATTCATTGCCATATAGTAGAATTGATATTAAAGAACTTCACTACCCTTTTTCTTTGTTTCTAATGAAGTTTTCAAGTTTCTTAATTTTTTGCTTAGAGTTTGGAAGACATAATTGCCATGCCAATGCGATTTCGTATTTTAGTGTCATGTTTTTGTCCTCTGTTAAAACACCGCCCAGGTAAGTAAATTTCTGTACTGGCTTGATTTTGAAACCTCCTGATCACAACTAACATTTTGAAATTTCTCTTTCGAACGATCATATATTACATCTTTTTACGCTCGACCGTTAGTCCTTTCTTCTCGCTTTGCAACCGATACTGAACTTCTGTTTTCTCTTAGCATCGTCACGCTGTTATGGTTAAATGAATCTGATGACAAGACGCATCCTTGTTTTTACGCTTCCTTTCTATTTTTGTGTGCTTGCTCAATTCATTTTCTATCTGTATTCAGCCGGCATTTCTCCATGTAAGAATTCTGGATTAATCTCATATCTTTCTTATTTCAATTCAGACTATTGAAGGCTGAATTTATGGTCCTCCTTTTATTATTTCAATTCAGACTATTAAAGTCTGAATTTCTGGTCCTCCATTATTTTTTCGTATTCCAGGTTTTCCTCTTTCCACAGTTGAGGAGTACAAACGGTTTACTGTCGTGTCTATATGCATAATTCACTTTATCACATGATGTCATTGAACTAAAATAATGTCTGTAGTTTTTAGTTTTCGATGATCCCCGTTGACGTGGAAGGAAAGTGACTAAAGATGGAGAAACTGGTTAGTTAATCAAAGTGTGAACTCTCTCTCTCTCTCTCTCTCTCTCTCTCTCTCTCTCTCTCTATATATATATATATATATATATATATATAAAACTACCTAAGTTTTTAAATCTTGTTTAAAAATAGGTCTTTTGTTACCCAATTCCCAATGTTTCAGAGTCGAAAATGTAATCGATCGTCTGTGGATTACTGTGCGAGAAAAACCAATAAACACAATTGAAAAAAAAATCTTCCCAATATTTTGGTTTTATTAGAATGTTTTTTTTTTTCTCTTTCTAATATCTTTATTTATTCTTTATCATTTCCGGTTCTTCAATGAAGCTCGTCTGTCTGCGACTTTTCACATTGTAATGTTAGTGTCAGTTGTTGAATCTACGCGCTGAAAGACTTGATTTGAAAAGACGAGAAAGAAAAACGGATCTTCATTTGTTTGTTTGGTTTTTAAACTCATAGACAGGTTCAGGGTAAAGGGTTCGGCTACGAAATACAACTCCACTCCTCACTTGTATTGTGACCATTAATGGTCTTCATGGCTAATTCAGAATTGTTGAGGCATTTGGTCGAGAGAAACAGAGGAAAAAGTCACCTGCGGCGACGGACATTTTAGTGCGAAGGACCCAACCATCCTGGGGGAATGTCAGTTGCAACTGACCTTTACTGATAGATTTTGTTTAAACAACCGAGCCTGGTCAAGGGATTGGTGATTCAAAGCTCACTGATCCAAAAAAAAAAAATTGTATCCTGTAGGTAGAGATTAAATGTCACACCGAGTCGCATTTGGACGGATTTTAATATTTACAGAGGAAACTTTGGAAACTTTGAGATTCTAGATTCTAGATTCTAGCAAGATCGTTTTCATTCAAGAAGAGTTGGCATATAAACAGCTGTGAATTCAATAATTAAAGAACGGTAACTAATACTTGAAAAGGAAATAAAAGAACTTCAACGAAAAGGCAAAATAGATATCAATGTGTGGGTTTTAAAATCTTACAAAATCCGATTTTTAAATTGCTTCCCAGTATAAGATGATTTACCTTTTGTGTTTAGTGACGTCTATGTATCTTGGAAAAATATTGTTTTTTTTGTTTGTTTGTTTGATTGTTTGCTTCTTGATAATTTGAGAAAATATGATGAATTGTCTCAAACATGTTTTTTAGCTTTTATCTGAAATAAAACGTAATCGATCACTCGCGATGATCGGTGAATTGAGATCGAATTCAAGTTAGGTTCGTTACATTCTCTTCCGTACAAATGCTCTTGAGAAAGGTATGAATATACTTCCTTCCCTCGGCTATGGGTTAAATAATAGGACCTGTAACTGGAAAAGAATTATTGTAATTTAAAAAAAAATGTTAATACAATATTCACTCACCCCAAAATTATTCTCACAATCCAAAATATGTATTGGCTTTCTTACGATTTATCAAGCCCCAGTGGGTTGATAAGCCGTAAAAAATCAAATCAAACAATCAATCCAAAATATATAAAAAATATTATTGCTTCTGTTCTGTTGCACCGGCCTCTAACACAAGGGAATTACACCGGTTCTTACTATATATAGTGCCAGTAATACCTACCCGGTGTAAGCAGCGACAGTACTACAACTGCTTAGCTGAGTAGTACCCGTTTCCTACCTTTGTATCTGTGATGTTAAATACACTTGTTCTTTAAACCAACTTCGACTTGATTTTCTTATTTTTACTATTGTGCCACGACACAACATGTTCTGAAAAATTTCAGATGTTTCTTAATCATATTTTTTATTTTAAACACGCTGAAAATATCATTTTGTATGGTGACAAAGAAATTGGTGTGCTCAACACATACGAAGTATGTGGCCTGTGTGGTGGTTGCAAACGTGCAGCAGGTAGGCAACCAATAATTTCTACTTTGTGGGACAGAGGACTCACTGGATGCTTTATGAGCACTACAATCTTCTCTTCAAGTCAAGGGTCAATATTTATACATCCTCCTTATCCTGCTAATACCACCCCACCTCTTTCATTCACATTCACTTCGTTTATCATAATCATTTTAACAGTAACTTTCTACCTTGAATTGCTTATACTTTATTATTATAAAAAACAAAACCCTTCCGGTCGCGTACTTACAGACTCGAGTTTAATATCAAACTCCTTTAAAAAATGTCTAAACCGTCAGCTGTAAACAGCCACTCCCACAGATCAATGTTAAAAAATGGTTTCGAGTCTTTAGTTCTTGGAGGTGGCTCTTCTTCGAACTTCATGGACTGGCGCTACAGAATCAATAACAGAGAACTATACCAACTAACAGATGCCATATTGCTTGTGGGACCTTCAATAGAATCAATAACTCAAATGTTTAGCACATGTAACTTAAAGAGAAAGTAATGGCATAATGTTTACGTTCCACACAACTTTGAACAAAAGATTAGGAAGGAAACCCCCACGAATACTGAAAAGAAGCGATAGCACTTACTGGACTTGGGAAAATTAATTTCCTGAAAAATTGCTTTATAGAAAGATTTTATAAATTTTAAGCGACAGCAGCATCAGTTGCTCTGCCACTGAATTCCGAATATTGTCTTAGAAAAAAAAATGAAATATTACCATCACATTTGACATAAATGTAAAATGAACCTGTTTATTATTTCTTTGTGATTTTTACACTATTTACATTATTGGGACTATTGTCCTCATCATATTTATTACAACGTTCCATTCGTTGTACGCTCTAGCCTTCTTCAGGTGGTTGGACTGTCGAACTGAACATTTATTTCGCTCACTGCGGTAGACTATTCTAGTTCCACGTGTCATGTTTAATTGATGTCAGTTATCAGTTATCACCTCAAGGACACATGGCACAGTGGATAAAGGCGTTGGTTAGATCCAGTGACAGGACCCAAAGAGTGTAAGTTCATTACCCAGTTAAGACAGTGGAGAAGGGGAATTAACAACTGATAACTGACACCCATTAAACACGGCACGTGGAAATAGAACAGTCTACCCCAGTAGAAATAAAAGGTTCAGTTCGACATTCCAACCACCTGATGAAGGCCGGAGCGTACAACGGCCGAAACGTTGTAATAAATATGGCGACAAAGATTGGGGATATGTTTAATTATGCTCAGTGAGGTGGTTGGATTTAATATTTACGTATCTTAACTTTGCGTTAGGTTTTATGTACGGGGGAGACATTGCCAGTGAGAAGGTTTAATTCAACGTCCAGTTAAATAATTTTTTTTATGTCGACTTCTGTTTCAAAGCTGTTGTTTTTAAAGAGCTTAAAAAGCGCTTTTTTAATAGTGTCATTGGTTCTTTTCGGTTTGGTGCTTAGGCCGTCATCTCTATATAGACCGTGGTTGTTTATATGAGCGATCTTGTTGATTACATTTAAACTATGCAAACCTATTAGTTCAGAAATTTCAGCGCCATCAAAGGAACACTGTGGTACATCAAATGCGTCTTTTTTCGATTTTTTAATCAAGGTTGTTCCATTGTGGAACAAAATTGATTTGCGGCAATGTCAAATTATTTCCGTTTGGTCTGGTGATATTTCTACGAAACCTTTGGCGAAATGCAGAGCCTCCAGTAGACATTTTTCTGATATAGATTGATAGCAGTACTTAATGTCATATTTTATGAATACATATTTATTTTCATTGTTGATTTTATGGAACCAAGAAATGCACTCGCAAGTATCCTTCCATTGATTGGCTTGTGTAGTAATTCTTAATGAGTTGCATATTTTTTTCAAAATTTTTTGGACTTATTTTACCCAGTTAAGCTTCCGTAGGACTTTTAAAGCGAAAAGAAGGATTGTTAGGGAATTTTTTCTTGTTGTACTTTATGGTAAAAAAGATAGCTTACAATCAATTACATGGGCCCTGTTACTTATCCATATATATATATATATATATATATATATATATATATATATATATATATATATATATATATATATATATATATATATATGGGGTGTAACAACAAAATTGTCCAAATCGTGTAAAACTAAAATTCTCCATTTATTAGAATTGAACCGTTGTATCTTCGAAATGATTAATGATATCTTACTGGAATTCTCCGAGGATTTTAAAACAATACTGGAATCTAATTTGAGAAATAAGAATGCATCATTGCTCTCTAAACTTAACTGAAGTATCGTGATGAAATTGAACATAAACGAAAATGACATATTTATCATTAATTAATTATAGCTAAGGATCAGAAACTCGTGAAGTATTGAAATGAAATTCATATATATATATATATATATATATATATATATTATTCCAACTTAATCATGATGATCTTCGTCCTCTCTAAGTTTCGAACTTTCTGCTACACCTTGTGTGCCTCATCGGTTTTCACGTATAATTTCATTTACAAGTCTCTGTTCACTGTTCTTTGGACTTTCATAGATGAAACTTCTATCTCACATGCCAAACGTCTTGGGGATTGAGTTGGAACTTACCTAATTGATCACTTTAGCTCTAAGTTGAAATGATGATCCCTCTGCCTGTTGTGATCTGATCCAGTTTTCCTCTCTACTGTTCCTCTTCTTAAAACTTTCTTGGCATTGTCTTAATGGTTCTTGAATTGACTTTGAAGATGGAAGCCAGAGCGTGAATATTGTTACCATTACTTAAGGCCTGAGAGGTCTTTTTCCTCTCACCATTGCTCATTTGGAATGTCAGTAGGGCTGATATAAAATGATTTTATCCTGTTCTCTTTCTAGTCGAATAACTTAAGGATTCTAAGGACATATTGTGTCAAGATGGCTAAATGTATCTTCTGAAAACCTAGAAAAGAGATACTTATTGTTTTTTAGATACTGAACATTTTGTGAAATGGACATTTATGACGTTACACGATTTAGGAAATTATATATATAAACGTCTAATTGCTGACTGTTTTAGACCACCAGAGTAGATATTTCCTAGATAAATCCATTGTCATATAATCGTTTAAGTGAAGAATCTACCCTTCAACGGAAGAATATATATATATATATATATATATATATATATATATATATATATATATATATATATATATATATATATATAAAGCAGTTAACGTTGAAAATACAAACATCATCATTACAATGCCAGAAACAGAAACAGCTTAACCTAAATGGTGGTGAAAGATCCAGATCAATAGCAATGTATGTGGGCAGCTACATGTGTGTATGTGTTTGCGAGGAAGTGTAAGTTTGTCTGAGTTTGTATATATATATATATATATATATATATATATATATATATATATATATATATATACTTCTGAGGAGAGGGACAGTGTAATGTCAAAATCCCGGGTGCTAAAGGAACCGGCAAGTTATTGCACAATTTTGGCATGAATGTCACCATTATGAGATGGAAGGGAATGGTGACACAGCGGCGCAGAAAGCGCTGAGTAAAATGATAACGAAAGCGTGAAAATTTTCAGTTACCAAGCAGTGTTGGTTTCTATGTTCATACTTTTTATACAGATATCTATCTATCTATCTAATTATATACATCATTTATCTATCTATCGATCTATCTCTCTATCTAATTATATACACCAGTTGTCTATGTATCTATCTCAGTGTGACACATCAGTTATCTATCTATCTATCTATCTATCTATCTATCTATCTATCTATCTATCTAATTATATACATCATTTATCTATCTATCGATCTATCTCTCTATCTATCTCTCTATCTATTTGTTTACATCAGTTATCTCTCTCTCTCTCTATCTATCTATCTCAGTGTGACACATCATTTATCTATCTATTGATCTATCTCTCTATCTAATTGTATACATCAGTTATCTCTCTCTCTCTATCTATCTCAGTGTGACACATCAGTTATCTATCTATCTATCTATCTATCTATCTATCTATCTATCTAATTATATACATCAGTTATCTCTCTCTCTCTCTCTCTATCTATCTCAGTGTGACACATCAGTTATCTATCTATCTATCTATCTATCTAATTAATACATATTTATATCATCTATTTATTTATTTGTTTATCGATCTATCTCTCTCTCTTCTATCTATTTACATCAGTTATCTATCTATCTATCTATCTATCTATCTATCTATCTATCTATCTATCTATCTGTACGTCTTGGGTATTTGTGTGTGTGTATCACGGTGTATACGAGAGTGTGAAAGACAGAGAGAGTCAAAAGTCTTTTATTTCTACTCGAAAATTTATCCGTTCAAGGATGAATGTCTATTCACTGAACGTAAGTTGTTCGCCAAGAGTGAAGCAAAAGAAATTCCCTTGCGCCCCCCCGTTCCCGCCCCTTTGTCAAACTTCACAGCTGAATGAGAGAAGTGACTGAATTAATTAGCTCAAATCTCATTCGTCCAACAGAGGGCGCAACAGTCTCCAGTAGAATTGAGGCTAGAATGAGAGTGTGGTGCTTTTCTTTCACATTGAGAGGGTCAGGGCAACCGGGATGTCTTAAAGATCAGAATTCTATAGGCAGGAATTTTTACTTCGGTACAAACACCAACCACTGAGGCCGATGCGAAACCAGCCAAAGTAACAATCGAATAATTTTGTTAAATATTTGTTTTTTTTTAAACAATTCTACAGATTAATATATATATATATATATATATATATATATATATATATATATATATATATATATATATATATTTAGTTGGATAGATGTGAGTTTGTGACCCTGGGTTTCACGCTTTAGCGATCGTTTGTCTAACGATGGCTAAAGCGTGAAACCCAGGGTCACAAACTCACATCTATCCAACCAAATATGTTAGCTCTATCTCTGATATTGAGCGCTTTCTAATAAGCACTGCGCATATAATATATAAATAATTATACATATATATATTTATTTATATTTATATACACTTTTCACACATACATATATATATATATATATATATATATATATATATATATATATATATATATATATATATATATATATATATATATATATATATATATATATATATATATATATATATATATATATATATATATATATATATATATATATATATATATATATATATATATCCGGGTGCCATCAGTTTAACTGGCTCTTTGTTGTTCCGCGTATTACTGCCAATTTTTACGGTGGAGTAATGGATAGCAGCTCGGATTGAGGAATCGGAGAGCCGAGTTCGCATTCCAGTCGAATCCATTACATTCACTTACGTGCTAACACCCTTGGGAAAGGTGTGAATCCTCTTCTTCTCCCCCTAGTTATCGGTCCAGAACAGACCAGGTTCTATATCCTTAGATGGCAACTGCTCTACCGTAGAAAGAAATGGCAACCTACTGCAGGAAAAAAATCTGCTTCGTCAGTCACGTATCGAAAGATACATGATCGCCTAAGCGTATATCACGCTTAGCACATAACTGACTGAATAGTGAAATAAGCCGCTTCCATACGGAAAACATTACATTTCAGTGTACACAGATCTGTCTTAGGTCGAATGTCTTTAACGATTGACTATATCCAAATATCTGACCAGCTGCCACAGACAATTTCGTTTCGCCTTCGATTGTCATGGACGGGTAAAGGGCTGATAATTCTGAATATTATGACACATTAAACGGGCACCGAAATAAGAGCAGTCAACTGATAACGATTCTATTAAGTTCACTTCTGACCAACCGTTTTCTTCTGGATCTTATTGTTCAATGATATTTTATGAATAAAATTCAGTGTGATTAAGGAACAAGAAGGTGAGCTAAGGGGTTCTTTATTTTCTTTATACAACTTAGTTACTATTCGACAATTTTTTATTCACTGAAGTGTAAACTATTGAAACTCATTTATCGGATAGATTTCTAATCGTCCAGTAATACAAAGACGAAGTCAATTTTCTCCCTGTGAAGAGGGTGCTGAAAAGTATTCGGCGTGATGCACTTCCCAAAACCTAACCAAATAATGAAACATAAAATTTAGGAATATAATAAAGTCAAACCTATTTCAGTACAGAGATGTCCTTTGTACTTACGTCTTCCTTAGCTAGTTAACATTAGTGACAGATATGCTAAGCGGTTTTCCTTAGCAGTTCGACAATGCTACTTTTCTGCTAACACTTGTGTGGTTTTTTTTACTACACTTATCCTTGCATCAATGTAGAAAGACGTTCTTCCACCTCACCATAATAGTTCCTTGATTTATTTATTTAAATGTAGCTGCAGTTCGCACTAGATAGGAAGAATGACTTAAATGCTAGATGTTTGGATTAAGCAACACGTGCCTAAAAAAAACCGAAACTCTAATTATTCATCATCAGATATTCTGACCAATACATTCGGGTGTTCCATCGCGGAGCACCTCATAAAGAACCGCAATTGTGCTGCTAATTTCAGTGTGGACACGTTTTCTGTCTTGAGTAGGTCCCACTCTAATTACCACCTAAAAATATTGAAGACTATATATATTTTATCTATGAAACATTCTCTTTCGAAACAAGGATTTTGTAATTGACTTCCAATTGATTTCCATCTAAATATTTTTTTCTTTTTTTCACATATTCTCCATTTCTCTATTTATAAAAGGCAAGATGTGTGTGTGTGTGTGTGGGTGTGTAACGAATGCACGGTCGCAATTTCCGATGGATTTGCACCAAAATTTACATGCACATGCTCCAACTTAGCGGTAACGCCAAGACCGAATTTGCATTTCCCAATTCCCATCGATAGTGGAAATAATCGACTTTTTCATGCTTCTACGGCAGTTTTCATGTAGTTTTCGGCCATTTTATACTGGCCAGAGTGAGAGCCTATAGCTGGCTGCCACGAATAAGCAGAAAGATTCAATTGGCCAGCGTGAGAGCCAACAGCTGACTGACACGAATGTTAACTAGCATGCTAGCGTGCAAAAAAAAAAAAATCTATAAAATAAAATACTACACTATCTGTGACCCGTCGGATGCCTGGCGGTTCAGGTTATAAAACAATGAAGCTGATTTCTACGTTAAAAAATTGTCTGTTTGAAGAAAGTTGAAATAAAAATACTTACTGTATAAACAATTCTTATTTTTCAATCTTACTCACTTGAAACATTTTTGAATTCAGATTAACTTAAAGATATTCTTTTAATATGCCAAAAAATATTTTAAAATCACATTCACTTGAAAATATTTTTTAAATATGCCAAAAAATAATTTTAAATTTTAAAAATTTTGTTTGTTAAAAGAAAGCAGAAATATAAATAATTACTCTACAAACAACTGGACGAAACAGCAAAGCGGGATCTCTTTGTGTTTGTCTTTAACTTTAATATTTTAATTTAAAAAAAATTTCTTTGAAGAAAAAATAAAAATATTTACTGTATAAATAAGTCGTATTTTTAAATCTTATTCACTTGAATCAGATTAACCCGTCGTGCGCTGACAACCGCTTTAGCGGTGGTAGAGAAAATGGCGCAATGTCCATCCACCGGTTGAACAGTGGTAAAGAAAATTGACTTAAAGCCCAGCTACCGGTTGAACGGTGGGTAATCACTTGTAACTATTTTTTTTATATCTACCGTGAAAATTTACATACCAATTATTTGGGAATTTTGACTCAGGAACTCGGGCAGAAGGGTTCAAATTGTTCAGAAACGCAGGGGCTCAAACGGTTAACTTAAATTCTTATACGCCGGACGGACGACGCACCACGCAAGTGCGCAGGCAAACAGAGAGGTGGAAAGAAGGAGCTGGAAAGGAAGAGAGGTGGAAGGAAGCAGGTGTAAAGAAACTTAAATCATTATACTCCGGACGGACGACGCACCACGTGATCACGGATTTTTGCAGTATATATATATATATATATATATATATATATATATATATATATATAGAGAGAGAGAGAGAGAGATGGATGACTGAAACTGTTTTTCAGGAAATTATACTTAACAAACCCAGGAACGGTTATCGTTTTTCAATTACTAATGAGCGTTTCCTTCCAAATCCTTTGTTTTTGCTAGTAGGGAAAATTAAAATCTTGATTATATAATTATTATAAATTAATTGATTTAAAATATGTTTTTTTTTCGCTACACAGTTCTAACCATGTTTCAAAATTGGATGGTCCGAATTTAATTTTTTAATTAAATTAAAGACATTAGTTCCATTTCATCCTCAAGCGAATTTTGGAGTAACTTTTAAAATTACTGGGTTTTAAAGACACAGCTAAAATCATAATTCACGTTTCCATGGTTACAGATAAATTTACTTCCACTAGACAAGGGGTGTTTGCGTGTTCATTATGTCTGTATTTTGATGTATCCGTTATAAGTTACATTTTGGTAGGGGGTACGGATGTATTTTTCAATGAAATCTGACATCCGTTAAATGCATGTCGTCTGGATTTTTTAAAAATTTTATTGTTAACGGCAAAATTTTTTACGGCATTTTTTCTATTTGTATATTTAAAGATTTTTGGGGGGGTGTTCAACTTAGAAAACGTTTTTTTTTAACTACAATTTGAAAACTATTTTCACTATTAATTTTTAATATACTATATTTCTTTTAAGAACAAGTAAATGTATTAGAATCCTTTACAGTATGTAGAGTTATTTTCACATCAACTATATGAATATTATTAGGTAACAATTTTTTTTATTATTATTATATAATTATAGTTTTTACTCGATGCATTTTTGTGCTGCTGTTGTGTGAAAGATTCAAGTGATGTTGTTTTCGTTATTTGGTAAAGCTTCGTATTTTTGATCTTTATAGCGCCAGTCTATAGGGTCTGATTAAGATTTGTCTTCTTTAAGATTTTTACCCCAAGCAAGGCATTAACGCCACTAAGACACAAGGGGTTACTGAGTATGAAAGAATTATAACAAGAGAAACGTTAAGTAGCGAGAACAATAGAGGAATAATCAAGAAGACAGTAGATAAAGATTGATTGATTTGTTGACTTATTGATTTTGTTTAGCGGTATATCAACGTGTTATTAAATGCCAAAATCTAAATATTTTGAACAGGTTTATGGCTTCAGCTATTTATATTTTGGACGCGATTGTGACTACATATAAAATATATTGTTGGTAATCATACTTATTATAAAACTCAGGTTGTGTGTCTGTTCGTTTATATATTGGATCAGATTTCCTACATTTTTCAACCGATTTCAACAAAACTTCACAGGACTACGTAAAATTACCTTGCAGTGGTTCTAACAGCGCCAAAAATTGGAAAAACACAATTGTTTTTGTACGAAATCAATTTGAAAACACGATTAAGAGGCATCGCTGCCGTGAGAATGAAAGGGGACAACTCATATCGAGTTATACTTATTATAAAACCTTGTTTGTTTGTTTTTGTGTGTGTGTGTGTTCG